AACCCAAGGGCAAGAAGGAAGCAGTCGAGGCAGGTGTATACCAGTGACGTCAATTGCCCTAGGGCGAGAACCGCCATTATCTGAGGCTTTGCTTTCGCCCCAACCTTATCTACTCTTCTAACCTGGGCGTGAAGCATGTCCTTTCCGTTGCTGGCGATCCACCATTTCGAGTGAGAAATCAGTGAAATCAGAGAAATGAAATCAGTCGTCGCATATCCAATCCCCACGGTTGCCGGATATCGCGCTGGACTCGTGATGGATTCACGACTGCTTCAACTCTTGTGTCGGTGCCTGAGCCTTCTGCTTTTTCCCCTCACGATAAATAATTGTGTGTTCATCTGACGATGCGAGAATGAAAGTGATTATCGGTGATCCATCGATGCGATAAGATACGGACGTTTCCTTGCTCGGGCATCCCTGAATTAACAAAATGGCGTCCATCACGGGTTCGAAGTTACGAGGCAGTCCGTCCGTATAGATCTAAGTCCAGATGGTGAAACTTCTGATAGGCCTAACGTCCCGACCAATACGTCTTGAAAACCCTAAGATAGATTCTCGTAGGCCAAATCGGCGAGGTAAGTCGATGGTCGACATTCCTCTTGATGAAATAAGGCCCAGGAATAGGACCCAATTAAAAGCACGTTACTTCATTCCTTATTATTTACTACTTTCCCTTTTGACTTAGTCAGGAGTCAGTCAGGAGAGTTAGTGATATCAAGAGGCGATTTCGCCCATTTCGATATCACGTGTCGAGGTCGAGCGTTCCTTAATTTTAGGGTAGGCCTAACCCTCTTAAAGCTAAATATTTTTGAATTTTTTTTTTTTTTTTTTTACTATCCTAGTTGCTTACTGTCTAGTACCTACGTCAACATTGCCCCCCACCTTTTTGCCTGTCCATGAAAGCATCTAGTTTCTTCTTAAAGATAGTCACAGAAGGGGCAGCCACTACTTCGTCATCTAACGCATTCCACGCGTTCACCACTCTGCAAGTAAAGAATTCCTGTCTCGACCTGAGCCGCACCTGCGGTTTGCGCAACTTAAGTCGGTTACCTCTCGTTCTCTTGCTGTCATCAAACTGGAAAAACCTACCACACTCGACATTATCTATTCCTTTAATTATCTTGAAAGCCTGGATGAGATCGCCCCTCCTTAACCTTCGTTCGAGCGAGTACAGTCTCAACACTTCTAAACGCTTCTCGTATGATAGTCCCCTAACCTCCTTAATCATTCTTGTGGCCCTCCTCTGTACTCCCTCGAGCGCCAACAGATCGCCCTTATTTGTAGGCCTCCAAAACTGGATGCAATATTCCAGCTGGGGTCTTATCAGCGCCGCATACAACGGAAGAATAACGCGAGATGCCCTACTCGCAACCGACCGACGAATGTAACCTAGAATCCTATTGCATTTGGCCACCGTCGCTTGCGCGTGCGAGGAAACTTATTCACGGGCCTTCATGCTTAGGAATGATTCCATGGTTTCTCGAATAAACTTCATTAACCTTTAGGATCAATGACGGTTCCACCGAGGAATCGGCATTTGAGAATTGCACATTCGCGATATTCCGGCCAATGCAGAGGCACAATTGGCTCTGGGCAACCGGCATTGGCCGCTTTCTTCTCGTTTGACGGCTTGAAGAGCGGGGAGAAAAGGAATGCAGAGTGCTGCATGAACGGGGCCATTTTCGTGGGTCACGTGACCCACATAAGCTACGAGGATCTTCTTCGCGGGACTCATGGAGTCTCGAGACTCACATGGCAAGTCATGTGGCCACTTCGTGCCATGCCACGCCGTGCCAGGCATCCTGCCAAGTAACAAAAAAAATTCGAAAAAAAAATTATTCCGATCAACAATTCTCGTATATTCGTCTGAAACCAGCAAAAAAAAAGCATGATTCCCCTGGTAAAGGAGCGTGATGCCCGAACGCAAATAGACACCCATGGAACATCGCGAAAAATGCGATGGTAAACAGCCAATCACATTTCATGGGTCGGGGTGGATAAATATCACAGTCATCGCAAAATCAAGTTTTAAGAAGAATAAAACAAGCACGCATCACCAGCGTGACGGACTCCCCCGGCACGGAATCAACCGGCACAGAATCAACCGGCACGGAATCAACCACTCGAGGAGTCAAATCCGGTGGAACGTTTCAACTTCTCAGAACTGAAAGCACCAAATTCGTTCATATTCTAAAACGGAATATCCTCTCTTCCTCAATGCAAATCTGGGAAAACGAATTGGCACCGGGCAGAATATTTGGAATCTGCGGAGCGTGCGGCTAGAAGTAACAAGCGTAATTCGTTTCCGGATTGAACCTGAGGCTGGAAAACACATCCTGCATTTTTCCCCACGAAATTATGGCAGCAGGAATGGAAAGCCTCAACCGATTTGACGGCTTGGCAAGGGAAAAAAAATTTGCAAAGAGGTTTTGCACTCTTCGTCGGTTTTTCCTCGCTCCGTCTGTGCCGACTGAAAAGGGTCTGGTGTTCGTCATTCCTTTTTTCCCTCTTCGCGGTCGTGACGGATGAGTCTCGTCTTCGGAGACATGACGTTTTTGGAGATGAATCGCCGCAGTTGCCATTTCTTCAGCATCTTCGTGAAGTCCGGCTCGACCCGGACGAGGTTCACGCAAAACGTCTGTCGACTCCGGAGATGGTAAGTCTCCATCTTCTCGTGCTGATAAGGCACCAACGCCTTGGGCAGATGAGAGACGTCGTTCGTCCGTTCGATGCCGCAGCGCCGTTTCGCGTCGAAGTTCGCGTCTCGCAGCGCCTGCACGTCGCGCTCGAGGCGTTCCAGTCCGTACGCGGCCTTGAGGACTTGGAATTTCGCGGCGAAATGGTCGTAGAGCATCTGGTCGGGCCACATCCATCGACGGAGTCGCTCGCGTTCGGCGGGGGCGAGCGACAGTTTTTTCGCGTCTTGTCGCACGTTGAGGGGGAGGGAGGTCACGTCCGCGAGGTCCCAGCACATGAGGTTCTTCATGAGGACGAGAGAAGCCTCCATCTCTTCGCTGATCATGACAAGGTGGAAGTTGTCGTCCATCTCGCGGATCTTCGCGGCGACGGCGGTCCGGTTGCCCATCTGAAACGGGGGGAGGCCGGCGTCGTAGAGCATCTGATTTGGGCCGAGACGCGAATCGCGGCGGAGGGTGAAGGGCGGCATGGGACTCGACTGGAGGAGCTCGGTCAGGTTGCGTTTGTACAGCTCCTCGAGGTTCACGTAGGTGTAGAGGCTCTCGAAGACGTCGACGGGGTCGCGGAGGATGGTGATGTACACGGTGTCGGGGGGCATGAGGGCGCTGACGCCGGCGCGATTCCACACGGTGTGATGTGCGAACACGTCAAAGTGGGAAGCGAAAAGATTCTCCGGCTGGGCCCGGGCGAACTCGGGTCGAAACGGAGACCGCGACAGGTAGATCTCCCTCGGAAGGACGAAGGTCAGGTTGCGATCGTAGCCGTAGCGGAGGAGGATGTTTTGGACGGTGGAACTCCCGCATTTGTGGGTCTTGAGGAAGGCGATGTGGTGGATGGGGATGCAGGAAAGGGGCTCCGACCTGGAACGGGAAGGGAGGAGGTTATCTTTTAATCGTGGCTTTGGCTCTGCTTCGCGGGTTAGCATTAACATTCCGCGCTCATGATTTTCCTATTCACCACACATCCTATTTACTTTGCATCCTGTTTACTTCATTTCCTTCTCATCTCGTTTTCCATTTACCTCATTTCCTATTCGCCACATTTCCTATTTTCCTACTTACAGAAAATTCTGACATTTTTTCGTTCCTTTTCCTTTAGGCCTTTTAGCCATTGCATCTTTTAAGCCCGGCAGCAGGTAGCACGACCGGATGACTTTCGAAGGACGGGCACGAGGACGAGCACGAGGACGGGCACGAGGACGCTCTCACTCATTTTTCTCACGTCCCTCGCGAGCCTCCCGATCCACGAACGCGACGATGCAAAACAAAAAAAAAGGCGAGCCGTGAATTATTCTCGAGTCGCTGAAAGCATTCATGCGATCCTGTACGTGACGCTGAATCGACGCGATGAGAAACGCTTCGCTTCCGGTCTTAATTTCCGCTGGCTCGTTTCGCGTTCCAGGCCAACGACATCCTGTTAATACGGCACGTTGAATTAAGCACGTTAATACGGCACGTTGAATAGGCACGTTCATTAAGCATGTTAATACGGCACGTTGAATAGGCACGTTCATTAAGCACGTTAATACGGAACGTTGAATAGGCACGTTCATTAAGCATGTTAATACGGCACGTTAATACGGCGCGTTCATTAGGTACGTTGAAGAGGCGTGTTCATTCGACACGTTCAACCGTGCCGGAATTATGAGACGATGCGGCAAAAATGAACGACGAAGGGAACAAGAAAATTTTCTCCGTTACATTCCAAAAAATGCCTCAATGATCAATTATGATAATCGCTTTGGATAATCCCCTGTCATCCCAGGCTCCTACGAAAAAATCCCGTGAAGAGTGCCTGCGACTTTTCCCCGTTTTCCGTGCCTCTGCAACCTCAGTTTTCCCGACTTAATTCTCACATCTCTAAATTATATTAATACTTTTTTCGCATAAATATTTGTCATAATTATGATGAATGACGTAAACAAAAATTATAAATAGCCCTCGGAACAATGCATCGCATCGACAAGCTACAAAGCGCCACCAAAAAAAGTGTGTTTTCGTCCCGACACGAAAAAATTGAAAGGCGACGATCGTGCCTCGGAGGCACGATCGCGCCTCAGAGCAAGTCACGCACATAATGATGCTGTATCGCCCTCGGGCGAATGTCTGCTACGACGGTACTCCCCAAGCCATCCCTTTCGAACAAAGATTGCGAGAGAGAATCTGCCTAATTCGACCCCCCTGCCCCCCTTGCCCCCCCCCCCCAGTTGGTTACCAGACGTACGCAATGGGAATCTAACACTATTGTCTTTTTTTTAAACGCGGATATTGAAGGAGACGGCAATGCAGCGCGTTTGCCCATCGCATCCCGCATTCTGGGAACCGGTTAACAATTAGTGCTCGAGATGCCCGAGGCGAACCGCTTGCTCGGTTGCGAGAAAGGAGGGGAGAAAGTGAGGATCTCCCTCGAGAAAGTGAGGATCTCCTTCGAAAGGAAGGCCGGAAGTGCGTCATGATCGCGTGCGCGTGCGATCTCGTGCGCGTGCGATCGCGTGCACGCACGTTCGCAAGCGGACGTTATGTCGATCGCATTCTCACGCGACGAATCAGAGCAGGAATTCTGGGCGAGGAAAAAAATTCGGGGCAAAGGAAAAAAATTGGGGACAGGAAAAAAAAAAATTTAGGGGCAAAGGAGAAAAATTCAAGACGAGAAAAAAAGAGGCGATTGATTTCAATTGACAGCGGATGAAATTAAAAACACGACAGAAACTCACCACGTCCCCTGCCGAGACCCGGTCAACCTCTGCACCGCGATGAACCCATAGAGCAGACAGAAAACGGCCAGCACCAGCAGCACCTGCCGCTTCACCCACGGGACGGAGGCGTGGGACCGAGGCATGACCGGACGGGAGCACCCATAGCAGCGCGATGCGGGGGGATGGCTGGGAGAAGAAGGACTGAGAGAGGGAGGTCTGAGTGAGGAAGGACTGAATGAGGAAGGAATGAGTGAGGCGCCGTGGGCCATGCCCCCGAGGGTCATCCAGAGGCCGATATCTCGGTCAGGGGGACGAGTGGGTGCGTGCGTGCGTGCGTGCGTGAGGGGGCGTGGGTGGTGAGAGGGTTCCCGATTCGAGGGGGTTCTCTTCGTTTCTTCTGGGCTTTCGATTCGCGCGTGTGCGTGTACGCGGACGTGTACGTGTGGTGATTGCGTCCGAGTCGGGCCAGACGCCTTAAGCGAGCGATAAAGGTGTTCGCACGTTCCTTCCTTACTCCATCGATTTCACAGCCCCGTTGCCTCGAAAAAAAAAATGGACTCGACCCGATGGACTGTGAAAAGCAATTGTGAAAGCCGTTCGCATTTAATTGAACCGTTGAATAGACCTTGATTGCTTTTGAAGCAGTCATGACCGACCCCCATTCCTTCCATCGGTGAGAGCCAATCTCGTGGAAAAATCGGAAACTGACCCATTATCCCGCGAAAAAAAGCAATACCCTCTCGACAAACTTTTCCCATAATTCAGTCCAGCCGCCAGATTCCTTCCGACAGCCAATTTCCGACCTTAAAAATCCCCCTCTGCCCGTTAAACCATCTCTCTGGCTCAAAATCAATTACTACTCATCGAGTAACATTTTATATACTCTATATGCAGACTCTACTTGATTTATAAGCTGCACGCACCCAGTCCCATTCCAGGAAGAACTGCAGGAACTCATCGCATCAATCCAGCAGCCATCCGCTCCATCCCCAACCGACTCCCCGGCCGCGAAGGCAGGAACTGGCTGCTCTGGGCGACGCGACGCCCGGCCCTGCCTGACCGCCGCGCATGCGCCTTGCGGTCCGGGATGTTTCCGCTGTTAGCTAGCTTTTCCGTTGCAAGCAAATTTCAAGATTCGAAATTCGTGGTGAGAAAATTTCCGCGAATTTCCACCGAATTTTTCCGCGAAGGTGCTCTGTGTATATCTGTCCATATCCATTTGTATGCCAACCTTAACAGAGATCGTGTCATACATTTTTCTTTTCGTTATCATCTGACATAAAAGATGTGAGACCCGGAAACGAGCAGAACGGGTCTATAAACAGCCTATAAACAGGTCTATATGTTTCTGTTGAAAGCTCGACGGACTGGCATGATAAGGAAATTATGCCCATGAGTGTTCCATTCCTTTCTGTAACACTCGTCCACGTAATCTCACCCGTGACTGTATCCCTGATGATGAGCTCATCCCTTGAACAAGAACAGGACGTAAATGGGACAGTGACGACATGGCGACGTGAGTCATAAAGCACGATAATGGTTTCATTTGTTTAGTTAATGTGTTTAATTGCACGAATGTGCCTAAGCATATTAGCGATAGTACCTTAACGTAATTGTACCGGAATTAGTTCTTTAAAATATACGTTGGATGTACACGTAAGTTTTATATATATAAACTACTAAGTTTCGAGACTCGGGTCATCGTGACCTGACCATGCATACCAAAATGCATACCAAAATAAACTTTGCTGAGCGTAGTTAGGGTTCCACACTACGTGCATATCAAGGGCACATGTGCTTAACCTCACGTGGCAATGACTTGGTTGCCCCACGTGCAACTCTTCAGCTGTCAGTCGGCGGACTGCATTCACCTTACGAAGATGTCACGTTTCGAAAAGCGTGCTAATGTGACATTTTGACCGGGGACTGTGTAAAACGGCCGCAGAGACCTTTGGAATGCTGAGACGGGCGTATGGGGACGAGACAATCTCACGCCCTCGAGTGTTTGAGTGGCGTCCGAGAAGGCCGTCAGTCCCTGGAAGGTGAATTTGAAGATGTTCTTCGACCGCGAGGGAATTGTCCATCATTTCGGAGGGAAGAACGGAGAATAAAGAGATGTACGAAGATGTGCTGCGGCGTCTCCGAGAAGCGATCCGGACGAAACGACCACCGATGTGTGGCAGACAAGAATTGGATCCACCTTCACGACAACGCGCCAGTCTTGCTACCACATACCCCCTACTCCCCGGACCTTTCGCCATATGACTTTCACCTTTTCCCAAGAATGAAGAAGCGCCTGAAGAGACGTCGTTTTTCCTCCGCAGTTGAGATGAAGGAAGCTACGGTGGCGGCACTAAACGAGATCTCTAAAAATGGGGTCCAGTTCTGTTTCGAGGAACTTTACAGACGTTGGCAAAAGTGTACGGAAAGCCAGGGCCACTACTTTGAAGGTGACACAACAACAGTGCCGTAATGCTCACCGTTTGCTTGCAATAAACTCAGTCTCGAAACTTTTTGAACCTACCTTGAATATGTTTTTTTCGGGTTCGGATCAATTACTGACTGTAAATCGGTACCGGTAGTACCGGTAGGTACTAGGACCGAGCAAGTACTGAATGCTCTTTTCTGTCGCGATGAATCGATTGCGACAACCGAGAAGCCGAAAGGAGTTCGAGGCCTTGCGATCGTGTTACCCTCTCGGATTGCTGTTACCCTCTCGTGTTACCCTCTCGGATTGCTGTTACCCTCTCGTGTTACCCTCATCTGCCTGTCGGCTCTCCAAAGGAATCTCAACCTGGTCGTCGGCCTGATTACTCGCAATTCTCTTCTTGTCCCCCAATTGTCGGAAGCCTTTCTATTCTTCGAAGGGTGAAAATATGAAATTCCCTATGTTCTGGCCCGTCTTCCGCTCACTAAAAATCTCAACGAAAATTAAATATCGAACCTGCGAATAGCTCAGGACCTTGTGTGGAAAAACAACATTGCCTCTATTTTTTAAAATACCATTTTAACTAAGTTGCTCAAACTTGGTGAAATAGTAGCTAATACTCTTTTTTTCATGTTTTAAATGGCATTCACAGGCAAATTTTTTTTTCAGCATTTTTGCATGCGTAAGATCCTGAAGCAGAGCGACTGTCAGTGGAATGGCGGTAAAAAATTTAATGGCGTTTATGGCGACCGTCTTCTGGGATCGCCGGAGCGTGCTTCTAATGGATTTCCTTAAATAGCAAACGGTACATCTGGATACTCAAAAGGTATAAACATGAAGAATATATTATTAAGTACCGTTTCACCAGGTTTGAGCAACCTGGTTGAAGCGGTTAAAAGAATGGAGGCAAACGGGCAATTACTTTCGGTACTTCTGACCAAAAAACTCCTCGAACGTGGGGGAGGAGTCCTGGAGGAGTCCTGAAGGAGTCCTTCCTCTTCCGCCTCTTTTTTGTCCTTCACCGAAGGGCTTTCCCTCTCTGCTTCCCCACAGACTTTTTGAAAAAAGGGTTGCGGGAACCCATTCTGTCTTGGTATTTTCTGCATCTTTCTCTCCCTCGCATCATGATGTGTCGCGATTGAATATTAATGTTGAGGCCATATTAATTATTTCACAATCTATGTGAAAGTATCTTTAATTTGGTACTTTTGCTAATCCTGATATTGTATGTCGATGAAAGTTATTTCGACTGCTGGAAAATAATTTCATGTTATGACTACTGGCCATCCTCAAAGAAAAAGGAAAAAAAAATACAATATTTTGGTCAAGTATTATTTTTCAAATTAGGATGATGTTTCCCCACTGTAAGGATGGGACTCGTTTGACAAAACAATAAAATACATAAAAGAAGTCAAAAGGCCAGGAAACTTGGATTCCGAAGTCAGTCGCTATTTGGAAGATTGTCAGATTAGCCCAACTGTCAGATTAGCCCTGTCCCCTTCGTTTTGAGCGGCCCGAGAGAGAGAAAAGAGTAAGATAGAGAATTTTCATTTCTTAGATCCTGTTAAAGTCTAAATTTTTCCTGATCGGATCTTTCTCCTATCCAATTTCTTTTCATAATTGATTTTTTAAATTTAATTAAAATCCTTCTTAATAGATTATCGTACCGAAGATAATTAACTCGAAACCAACTACTGTATACCTTTTTATATTAAATGATGACCTCGAGAAATAAATTCTTCGTCTCATCTGACTTACTTTGATAACATTCTTGTTTTCTAATTTACTGTATAAAATAGTTTCTTGTAATAATTCATCGTTGTCTTCATCTGTAATAAACTTGAATATTTTGCCTAAAAACGCACGAGTCTTCAACTTTTCCAGAACTTCTGCCCGAGCCGGATCTGCCCTATCACTCGAATCGGTGACAACGCGAGGGATAGAAACGAAGGAATAATTATTGAACCAAAAAATTTTTTTTTGGAATAGACAGTATTGACACCTTGTTACGTCACATGAGGAACAGCCTCGTCAGATGTTTCCAGAGGTATCATACAATAGTCCACGTAAGAGTCAATTGAGAAAGTCAAAATATATTTCTTTATTTTTGTCGTTTCGATGTTTTGCTGCGATGCCGCTCGACCATGGGTGGACATGCAGTTGAGTGTCTTTGCACTTCGCAGGCGAGTTCTATTGGGGCGAATGATTTCTTTTTTTCTTTCAAGAAGGAATTTTCATTGTAGTCGACTATCGCTCTCATCTGTATGCATTATGGCTGCAGGTATTGTACGAGACATACGAGATGGAGAAGACAGAGAAGGAACACAAGCAGCCGCAAACCGCACCCGGACATGAGTGTAGGCTGTAGCCCCTTTCCCTTTCCCAGCATATAACATATCCGTGAACTCACTATTAGGTCGACGCTCTCTTCCCCATCTGTGGTTTGATGAAGTGGATGATCCCAATTACGGCGCCTTCGAGTGTATCTCCTTCGACGAGCAAGGTGAGGAGCACGACGTAAGGGAACAAGGCGGTGAAGTACGAGATCCTTCCCGAGCTCTGAACTCCTCGGATGAGAGAGAAGACGATCGTGGCCCAGGAGAAGAGGAGGCACAGGGCCAGCCTCCACTCGGGCGCTCCCACTCCGTCGTCGAGGCCTTGAATTGGTGGATGGATCTTCAGTACTTCGATTGTGCACACTCGTTTCCGCCGTGAGCTGAGACTGACAACTTAGACTTTATTGCAGTAGGCCTGCCACAGCGCGCCTTTTTCGAGTTCATGTCTCTTGGGGACGATATACGAGGCGTTACGCAAATTTCACATGATACATCACCCTAACCGCGTGACCATTCAATTATGCCTTCCGCAATAATGAAGCACCAATGTGGGAAGAAATTTCGCAATCGTAGCACCAGTTGCACATCTGCCATTCCGCGTGTCACTCTCGACGTCCCTTTACGACCATATGTTACCTGCCGTAAATCAGTTAAGCTTCATTTTGGAAACGCAGTAAAATTTGTTCGGTAAACTAAACACGGTAGATTTTTTGCAGCAACTGCGGGAAGACTGCATTTTTCTGCATTTTAAAAAAATGGGGGGAAAAATGGGAAACCGATTATAATGTGGCTTTCCTTGGTCACTATGGAAATGGTAAATAATGATCTGACATTGACCATGATGAAACGGTACAATGAGATGAAATGATATTTCGGGCTGTCTCTGGCTGAACTGGGTCAGTTTCCCCACGAGAACCGCGACTTACGTAGCTCAAGCTTAGTAGCTTACGCTCCCTAAGAACTTATGCAAACCACGAGATTCTTGCATGGATTTTTCCTCAGTTCCAGTCCGTTTGGTCCGCATTTACCCCGTATTTTTTATAATAAAAAAATAGTACAAAATTCCAGATGTACCATTCACGGTAGGATAATTTAGAAAAAAGAAAATCGCTCTTCGAAATTCGGACTTCATGTCACTCGAAACCGAATGAACGAGAAATCTGACAGATTACGACGCCAAAACGCCTATGTAGTGTGAACGGACCTCAAATAAGAGATGAAACTTTGCGGATCCACCCAGGAAAGCATCCGGCTCCTTCAGCTTATTTGGGGAGAGATCCAAAAAAAATTCGTTATGCTGCTTGAGGTTTCATGGAGTGAGAGGAAGGTTCTTGCGCTTTTTTATGCATTTGGTTTTTGCTTCTGTGGTATCCTTTTTATTTTAATTTTTTTTTTTAGATTTTTGATCTGAAAGGAATATTCGCGGCGGTGAAGACACTCCCCCGCTCGTCAATTCTCTGCAGCAGCGTCTCCCTCACGCGAAAGCAAGAAAGAAATCTAGAGGATTTCGAGACGAAAACCAGACCGAACTCCCAAAACCCGATTCCTTCATCAGTTTTAACTTCAAAAAGCCGGATTAACTTTTTCCATAAATGCAACGTTTCCCAACTTCAAAAGGAAACGAGAGTTCGAGTCCTGCCATAGCCATGCCAAATTAATTTCCGTCATGCCAAAGTCATGCCAAATTAATTTCCGTCATGCCAAAGTCATGCCAAATTAATTTCCGTCATGCCAAAGTCCTGCCAAATTAATTTCCGTCATGCCAAAGTCATGCCAAATTAATTCCAGTCATGCCAAAGTCATGCCAAATTAATTTCCGTCATGCCAAAGTCATGCCAAATTAATTCCAGTCATGCCAAAGTCATGCCAAAATTATCCAGCTGTGTATGAGATGACTGTCTTGGAAAGCTGATTTGAGGGATGCCAGAGCCATGCCACTCAATCGTCGGATCGACGGCCGTTCCTCTTCATCATGCAATTTCCAGTGAACTTTCCCATGTGGTTTGTACACAGAGAGAGGCGCGTGCGGCCTGGAATTGATGGGCTCAACTCGTGGGATCATCTAGTCTCAATCCTGAGATTATCGGTTATGGGGGGTGGCAGAGATGGCCTGTTGGACTTCTCGATCCAGCGGCGCCCTCGACACGAAATTTTTTGGTGGTTTTCGTTCCGTCGCGTGGAATTCAAGGCCACCTCGAATGGAAAGGGATTGAAGCAGCCGGGGGAGTTTCGACTCGTTCGTGCAATTGTTGCACTTTTCCTGTATTTTCTATTTTAGTTTTCCCAGGCGTGAAATTTGTCATTGCCGTCCTGCTGCAAACAGAAGCAGCCAGTAGAGAGAAAAAAAAAGGCAGAATCCATCCAGGTGAGATGATACTTGATTATTTTCTTAGCCGAGAACTCAGGTGTCTCTCCGGAATCATCGAGAATTCCAACGTTATTGCTGTGCCCGTTCTAATAAATATTAAAATATTAATAATCGATAAATCCGCAAAGAAGGAAACTCACTGCTAATATAAGAGTATACAGCATTAAGCGTTTATCATCATGGATTGGCGAATCGCGCTCCAAAATCAAGATATGATGCTTCCTGAGCAATAATATTGGCCGCACCAAGTAGAAACGGCACTCGATCGAAACGGCACGCAATCGGAACGGCACACAATCGTAACGGCACACAATCGTAACGGCACACAATCGGCCCTTATTTGACGTTCCATCTCATATCCGGGATCCACCGATTCCGATGGCGGTGGGTTTCTTTGAACGCCTCCCATTCCCGTCGCATCTTCTGGCTCTTCGGGCCCCAGGTCTCCTTTTTGAAGTTCACGCACTGGCTCAGCCTCTCCCTCTGGGGGGCAAAAGGGGGCAAAAGGGGGGCAAAAGGGGGGCGGATGAGCGTCATGTCAAAAAGGGAGGAAGGGTTCCGCCGAATGCACCTACCAAGTTGCCCTTCCGGGTGACGTAGGTTTGCACGATGGAGATGACGGGCATCACCACGGCCACTGCGCCCAATAGCCATCCACAAACTGGGAAAAATCCGAAAAGGACTTTTATATAAAGGCTGCCTATTTTTAATCAAACATTTCTCCCAACTCGCAACGAAACCCTCCCAGAACCAAACCGACTCCCCAGCCTCACTCACCCAGCGCCGCCCCTTTAAACGTGTATCCTTCAGCCTCCGGCTCCCCCATGTTGATCGCAGCGTAGATGAGAATCCCGAGCAGGCTCACCGGCGTCAGCACGAACCAGCACAGCCTCCAGTACCATCCCGGGTATATCCCGAGCATGAACTGCACGTCCGTGCAGATCCTCCCCACGCCTAAGAGACTTTATAGCCCAGAGTGCGTTCCTCGGCGACTCCGAGAGGAATGAGTTCTGTTCGTACCGTACACCCAGCAGAGGCAAACCGTTTCCAAGAGCGCCAGGATGAAGATGAGGAAGTCTCCGGCGAAGTAATTCACGAGTCCCAACACGTACGGCCCTCCCTGCGACGAAAATCGGATCAGGATCATCCTAATCCAGATCCAAAAGCCGCTTTCCCGGCACTCACCGGCGTCACATAAACGAGCCCGATGAGAAACGCAATCACGCACAGCACGACGGTGACGATCCGCCTGTCCCACGAGGGGAATCGGTCGCAGACGACCGTGATCACGCAGCTGATCAGAGCCACGGCGCTGCCCACTCCGAGGGTCCACAGCATCAGGAAGAAAATCGCGGCGAACAGCTGCGAACGCCAGCAAATTGTAGAGGAATTTGAAAGTTCTAAGTAATACGAATCAATTAAAATTTAAATAAATTTAATTAAAAATTTAATAAAATTATCAAGACTAAAAATGCTTAAATTTAAATATTAATTTCAGATGGAAATCTTTTAAACTTAAATTTATTAAATGTATTGCAAAATTGTCGAGTCAATTTTTTTTCAATTTATTTTTGAAGTGATCATTATATGAAATTTAAATAAATGAGGCGTCACCTGAGGAACTGCGTCAAACTGGGCGATGGCATCGGGATAGGAAATGAAGGCGAGCCCGCCGCCAGATTTCACGACCGTGTCGATACTGTCGGCGCCCATGCTGTGTTTCAAGTTGCCGAGGATGGCGAAGATGGAGACGCCCGCCAAGAGACTCGTGAAGGTGTCCATCACGCTGATGATCAGCGCATCCCTGGAACGCGAGCGAGAATGAATCCGCGAAAAGGCGATCGCGGGCCGCGAGGCCGTCCTGGGTCTCACCTGTATACATTATGCTGGAACGGATTGAACGAGGCGTACATGGTGATGGAGCCGAAACCGACCGAGAGGGAGAAGAAACACTGTGACACGGCCGCGAACCAAACCTGGAAGGAAACGGAAGCTCTGGATCGATTTTCCCCGGAAAAATAAAATAATAATAATAATAAATAAATAAATAAAATAAAAACAGAAATCGAGCTGACTCACTTTTCCCTCGGCGAGTTTTTCCCACTGGGGTGTGATGAAGTAGAGGATTCCTTCGCCGGCGCCTTCGAGCGTGGCTCCTTTGATGAGCAAGGTGATGAGCACGACGTAAGGGAACAAGGCGGTGAAGTACGAGATCCTTCCCGAGCTCTGAACTCCTCGGATGAGAGAGAAGACGATCATGATCCAGGAGAAGAGGAGGCACAGGGTCAGCCTCCACTCTGGCGCTCCCACTCCGTCGTCGAGGCCTCGAGTCGAGTTATACATCTTCAGTACTTCGTTCCTGCGTGAACCAAAGGCCTGTCATTTTTGCAACTTCTTGCAATTCGTCTGGTTAGGGTGGGAAAGAAAAAACTGCCGATTCCGTCTGCTGACTGAGGGCTGCCAAGAGGCAGGTAAAATAACGCGCGTGGTTGCATCTTCCATGGAATATAGAATCTCTGAAAGGGGGATGAATGTCTCTTGTGCCTTTTGTTCGATTTCCAATATATTTACGATAGGGAGGAAATTGTGCATATTGTGATAAAAGCATGTGCCCTGTTTCCTTGAAATGAAATCTGAGTGTGAAGCTCAAATTAATTTTTTGCATTTTTTTTTGCTATTTCATTCGAAAAGGCTGTTACTCCGTGGGTATTAATATAGGGAAAACGTATCACTGCATTCTTGTGGTATCATTTTACGGAAGAGTCACTTTCATTGCTTATTCGTAAGTCAGACCATAATTGTAATCGAAATGAACTTCGGAAGATAATTAGCTAATTCACTAATTACTTATTTACTAATTAGCTAATACACTTTACAGAACGACCACGATCGAACTTGAAGGCTTAACACAGACCGAGCCCTCTTTAAATAACAATTCATTAGTTTAACAAATCATGAATGATTTATTGTCTCTAAGGGGCTCCCAAGCAGCTCAAGCAGCTTGGAGATCCATTAGCACTCTGCTGAATGTCGCAACTTTCATACTTCCTTTCATTCCTTTCATCATTTTCATTCCTTTGAAAGTGGTCGTCAACCTGGACGTCTCTGAGGTAACTGACTTCAACCTCTGAGGTAACTGACTTCAGCTGGTGGCCTGTCTCCGGGCGGAAATGAACAGTTCGCCGTGTCCATGCAAGCAGTCGCTCTTGCCAAAATTTACCGAAAATATTACATGCCAATCGCGTCCGTGACGAGGCGTAGCGATATGCATTTGCAAGAAACGCTCTCGGGAAGATACGCCGGCCGAGATTTTTAGCACGAGATCGACGGGGCGAGGCGTAAAATTCGCCTGAACAGACCACTCACCGATGGTATTGGCAAAACGGAGCACTCACAGGTAGCATGGGCATAACGGAACACTCACAGGTAGTATTGTTCGGAAGAAGATTCCATATGAACAGAGAGGTTGCTGAGGGAATCGCTGGCCGCAGAGTAGCAATTCTCATCGGTCCAAGGCTTCCCGCATTCGGTCCAAGGAAGAACTTTGCTGAAGCACTGGATGAAGTAGAAGACGCAGGTCCCCATGATGCTCGTGTAGTAGGTGACCACGATGAAGGTTGCGATCATCTGACCGTAGCCGATGCCTGAAAATAATTTTTTTTTTTAAATACCTATTTAGGAATTTTTTATTATCAATAGCTTGTTTTCTGCTTTCCCTTTGCTCAAGCGGAAGCGGGAAGATTTTCTCCCAGTGAGGTCTACAGGGTCTCTTAGAGCCAGCACTCAATCACCCGAATCGCGTCGAGCTTGCAGAGATAAAACTCGCGCGCTCTGATAAAACTCTTGGAGCACCCTGTAGATCTGCAATCCGCTCACGGACGCTTCGCCGGAGGGGGAGGCCGCATGGTCGCCTGCGTCGCGAGTGCCGCCGCATCCTCTTCTCTTCGTTCTTCTCTCCCCGGAAGGCGGAAAGATCTCGCTTCGCTCTGTGACTCGTGAAGTTGTCACTTAAGTGATTTTTCAGAGTAATTTCTTCAGAATTTCAGAGTAATGAGTAATTGCTATGAGTAATTTCTGAGTAATGAGTTATTGCTATGAGTAATTTCAGAGTAATGAGTAATTGCTATGAGTAATTTCTGAGTAATTAATAACTGTTATGAGTAACGTTTTTTAAATTGACCATCCAGGGCGACACTTGCATAGCATCACCACCGCAAAGTTGGACCACGAGGCCCCGAGTGAATCGATGACCATGAGTGAATTCATGGCATCATTCCATTCCGGGTCGAGATTCTGGAAAATTTTCAGGTCAAATCGAAAATGCCTACTTTTATCCCCCCCCCCCCCCCCCCCCCCCCCCTTTAAATTGCAGGTAAGGAACCCGAAGCTAAAATGGGCCTTCGCGTATCAGCCCTATTTCCAGCAAACAACATTTTTTCCTCCCCTTTTTTTTATTCCTCTAATTGTCCCCTGAAGTCTCACGTGCAACAGGAACCTGATGGCAACTTTTTAATTTGCTGTTCAAAAAATTCTTCAGCGATTGCAAGAGATATTCCGCCATTCCCGTTCCTCCCATCCCGCAGATGATTCGAACGGACTGAATTCATCGTTTACGACTGATTGCCCCGGAATTTTCCATCATGGCGACGATGGTGACGATGGTGACGATGGTGACGATGGTGACGATGGTGACGATGGTGACGATGGCGACGATGGCGACGCATTCTTGCAGCTCGCGCGATACTCCTCGCGTTGCGCAACCGGAACTTCGCCTGGACTTTGAGGCACGTCGATCAGACGGTGGGAAGATATGAGAAATAATAAGGCTCGGCTCGCATGCGGGGGGAAAGCGAGGTCGGAACCACCCTGCATGCTTGCGCGTACCACCTTGCATTTAGAGTCAGCTATGATGTCACGCGGGCTCGATAGAACGATGAGGTTATAAATAACGATATTCTCTGAGGATAAGGAGAAAACGATGAGCGGAACGCTCATCGATGAGCGCTCCGTGCCCCTGACGATGAGACAACGAGAATGCCATTTATGCTGAGAATGAGTCCCTAAAAGGAGCTTTCGCTTAGATTAATTTGAAAAAAAAAAATCGGTTTAATTCCAGGTCGTGAGGAACCCAGAGAAAAAACGCATGAGACAGAGGGGGAGCCCACCAGGAGTGGAGGGGGAGCCCACCAGGAGTGGAGGGGGGGCCCACCAGGAGTGGAGGGGGGGCTCACGCCGAAGGGAGGGCCAAGGCTTCCAAGGGGGGGAGGGCTTGATTCACTTCTCTTTAGTGGTGCTCAGTTTCAATTAAAATTTCATCCCGACTATTATCCGATTAAAACGGATCGGTAACCTGATTTCTCTCGTGTGCATTTTTCGGTTCGCCTGATTGGTATGCTGGGTTGTGCCAGGAAGCTTGCTGCCTCGGCCTGGGGTTTTGAGCGATGGAGGGAACGGCAAACGATATCGTCGGCACTTGTATGTATTGATATACATGTAGGAATTACCATTTATGAATTAGATGATATTATGAGCAAAAGAAGAAATTTGAATGTAACAGGCAATTTGTAAAATCGAAACTATTTAAGGAAAAAAGTTTGCGAAAAAAATCGACTTGGGCAAAATGTGGTCTGTTACTGGCATGCGTAACTGCATAGTAACGAGTCACATTCCCAGCGCTGCTCGACGTGACCGAATAGCAGAAGAATCGTGATGATCCCAACGCGGTCGGCATTACCTCTCATTGCAGGGACGGCGGACCACATGCGGACGCAGCCGAAGGAGGAGAACTGCCCGATGACGAGCTCGAGGAAGTAGAGCGGCTTCCCGATGACGAAAAGGACGATGAGGTAGGGGATGAGGAAGGCCCCTCCGCCGTTCTCGTAAGCGGTGAAGGGGAACCTCCAGATGTTCCCCAGCCCGACCGACATGGCGATGCAGGAGAGGAGGAACTCAATCTGGTTGTTCCATTGCGGGCGGTCTGTTCCGGCTTCCTCGTCCTTCGGAGTCTCTTCGTGCGGCTTCTCTGCCCCGATCACCTGCGAGGATCGCCGGCTCTGGTCTTAGTTTGAGAGGAAAGAGTCTTGGTCGTTTTCATTCAAATTAATCATGAATTACTTAATTACTCTCCAATGAGTTTCGATTCTGGCCAATCAAAACTGGAATTTGTTTTTGACATATTTCCATTTCCAGTAGTAGTAATCTTAAAAGAAAAATTCCTTATCGATAAACTTAGACTGAAATTCCTGGCTCATGCAGGCTGAGTCAATTGACGAGAGCTTGTTGCATAACTGCATTGCTGCCGCCATGCACTTCATGAATCGAGTGAAGAAAAAAAAACGGAAACCCACGGAAACTTCACCGCCATCCTTCGGTTTGCTTGAGTCCTCCCCAATATAGTCAAACGCCTTGTTCGAATAACTTGTCGCCCTCTGAAAAGAAGACAGGGAACGGAGGTCATGCCTGAGAATCAAGGTCACAGAGAGTGGAGGTCACCGAGAGTCAAGTGTAAGAGCGAAACGAGGGCGAGGAGCCCAGCCCCTCCATCAGGGGCCTCCCGCCTCACGGAAGCGGGCTAAGGCCCTCCAGTTTTTTGCCATGCGGTGTGTACATGGTTTATCGGGTCAAACACAATACGGGTTTACTGCTGCCTGCTCCCATTGCGCAATCCTTTATTATCCGGCGCTGAGGGGGGAACGGGCAGATTGATCTGCGGGACATTGGTCGGTACTGGTACTAGTACTAGTCGTTGCGTGGGGGGCTTCATCGCGTTCGCCGGATTCCGGCTCATTTATGAAAAATCACGTCAAAAATTATTTACATAATATTTGCTAATTATGGTTTTCGTTTTAAAAAAAAATGTATTTTTTCGGGACAATGGCCGCCATAGTGCGATTGCAAGTGTTGCAAGTATAATGGTAAACCTTTTGGTAAAGATAAATTTCATACATGAAGGTAAACAATTAACTTGTTCAAAGGGATCTCGGATCCGACAAGAAGGACAAGCAAAACTTGGTGAATTTAATTTAGCTGCGAATTTAATCGGAATCTGAATTTTGTTTAAATTTATTAAAAATTAATTGGCGAAAAAATTTGGCGTGATTCGCAGTTGCATTTATTTCGCTTTCGCCGAATCGCTTGAAATGGGAGAAAGCTACTTTCTCGATTCGGTTGGGTCGAGCGCGCGCCACCGGTTATTTATGGGTTTGTTGTCCTTTACCGAATGAGATCCTTTATCAAGGTATGAAGGTCACCTGTCTTCCGTGCGAACGAAGACGAATTCTCGCTGCGATTGTTTTTTTTGCAATTTTGATGCTTTATTTATGGTGCGATTGCGACACGACGCGAGACATCCGAGCGGATCCGGGTGGATCGCCGTGATCCACCTGCAACAGGCGGATCGCCCGCTGAAATATACGATCGCGTTCATCCTCCCCGACGGATGAAATACGAATGGAAATGGAAAGGAAGGAGTCACTCGCTGCCAGTCCCTCTAATCCCGAAGATGAGGATGATCCTGACAGATGAGGATGATCCTGACGGATGAGGAAGACGAGCCAGTCCTAAGCTATCTCCAAACGCGACAAACTAGCATCAATATGCAAGGCAATTTAACTTCCTGAAGCAAGAAAACGTCCAGAGACATCATCCCGTCTGTGCAGGCGGATAAGACATCCATACACGCCAGGCGGAGAAGACCGTAAGGACCTGATCGCATTGGGCTCATCGGGCTCCGCTCGCTCTCGTTGAGGACTCCCCGCGTTCCCATTGAGAAGAGCAATAAATTTTACTTTTATGGCTATTTATCTTATCTATTTATCTTCATGAATGCGTCCCACTGCGCCACATCTCGCGATCGCGGAAACACGTGTGCGATGATGCGGAATAACTTTGCTAATGGACGTTGATGATGCTCGGTCGGGTTTGGGGGGCGAGAGGGGGGCGAAGGGGGGCGGGGGGGCAGTTCTGGATGCCTTTATATTTAATGTTTTTAAGAGTTTCTGAGAAAAGTTTTATCTCCTGTGATACCGGGAAAGGAAGAGTTTTATTTGCCCTTTATATACAGGGTGTCCTTTACCGCGCGGTCGCTTTACCGAGACGGTGAAGTGTTTAACTCTCATTACTTTCACTTGCGTTCAGATATTTATTTGCAGATGCGAAATGTGCACATCGAACACGACGGACAACAATTTGAAGAATTTCTCATTGTCCCTTCCTGTTTGGTGGTTGGTGCCAGAATCCCGGGAAAGCGACTTTTTGGACACCCTGTACTTTTCCTCCTCAAGGTCACACGATGATAGCGCGGAGATAAAGTCCCCACCGATTTTCCAAGAAGAGGGTGCAACAGCCTGGCCAACTTTTTTTTTTTTTTTTTTTTTGCCCCCCCTTCCCCGAGACTCAATTTCCTTCCTTTCGTTGGATTATCTGTGGATCATCCGTGGATTATTCCGTCCGACTCTGGTCGATTTCTAAGAGCAGTTTCAGTTTCAGTTTCAGTTCAATTTTATCTTTCTATGGTAAAGGCAGAGTAAACTCCCAAAAAACTGATTTAATTCCGAATTCTCAGGTTCGTTTCAGTCAAGATTTGAGTTAAGTGACTAATAAATAATTAATTAAATTACATTATAGAAAAGTCGATGTCTCAGGT